CAGTGACTGTCAGGTTAACCATGTTACTGATGGGACCCTCTCTGGACTCACACCAGTAAACTCCACTGTCTGATTCATATAGTTTGCTGATTTCACAGGAAGAACCAGCTAGTTTTCCCCACCCATCTCCACACTGAGTGATGTTCGGTTTGCTTGTGTTTCTCCTCAGAGTCCATCCAGCAGAGCTGTCGTCTTCCTCACAGCTCAGAGTCACAGAGTTTCTTTTAAAGAACTGAGAGCTGCTGGGACTCACAGTCAGACGAACTGTGAGGGTTAAAATGAAAAAATTGATGATTAAATATACTTTTGACATATTTTATGCCACACTGAAATAATTGCTTTGCAGAATAATTCATTTAATTTATTTAATCAGGTCATGTCATTGAGCATTTCACAGTCAGACGAGCTGTGAGGGTTAAAATGAAATAATGTTGAGACTTTTATTGTTGTAAAAAAAATACATGATATATCATTTCATAAAACAATTAAATCTAAATACATGCAGTTACTGAATTCCTGAGAAGAGAAAAACATTTCTTTTGTGTTGATAACACAACTTCATTCTAAGCATTTAACAGATGTAAGCACAGAAGAAGGTTACTGACCTTGGTGTGTTGTACAGCTCAGCAGTGAGATCACAGCTGGAAATAGATGGTTATAAGTTTAACACAATAACCCAGAAGAAAAACATGACAAATCCGGCTCATACTGTATGCCTCACTGCTGATTTTGTCTCTACTGCTGTGCAAAATAGAGAACAGTGGATGCTGTAGTTCATCTCCATACCATTAGAGCTTCTGTGGTAGGTAATGTTAAATATTAGATTAGCAACTTTGGATTTGATTTATGGGTTTTTTTCAAAATAAAACAACCGACTCAAGAAACTAATCAGGGAAAAAAAAAACACATGACTGAGAAATTGTATTTACAAAATATAACACAGAACGCAGTTCATATTTATGCAGGTGTATGTGTTACTGACACGAACAGGCTCTCAAGCATTGTTTTAAAAGAAAGATAGAAATGACAGTGGTGTTACTTAGACGGTGATTATTTATGCTTTATTAATAAATTTGTTGGAAAGCAAAACATATTCTTGTTGTGATTTTGGATGTTACCAATGTAAACATTGCAAACTATTCACGACTCAATGCCTAATTACTATCAGTTATACAAAGTTTCCAGGTAATATCGCTGTTAACTCGTTTTTTAATTTCCCTTTTTTCTGTGGAAATGTCTGTCATCTGTTATCACTTAGCAACAAAGAAGACTTTAAACAATCAAGCAAAATAAACATTG